GTAGGGACTTCAGGGTTTCTCAATTAATGTTTTTGCATAAATTTCTACCTCTTTTTTGAGCAACTGTCAAAAGCTGTTCAAACAGCCCATGTTCTAAAATGGCCAGTTTGCAAACTTAGTGGATTACTCTAGATATAATTATTTTAATGTATATAAGGAAAAAATAAAAAGGAGGGGAAAAAAAATGAAGAAAGAAGAAAAAAAGAAAAAGAAAAAATATCCTGGAGTTTTAGTGTTTCACAACCCTCTCCCCTCCCTGACCACCCACATCAAACTTAGGAGTTACAGGGTTCTATAAAAATCACCTAAAATTCACAGACACACATACACCAAGATTATCCTGCTAGGTGGACATTTCAAATTGCTATAAAGATCTCTTGGCTGTCTAATTTATGTTGCCCTTGCAGGAAAGGTCATAGTTAACACCTACAAATGATTTAAAGAGGCAGTGATCATGCCATGATGAAGTCTCTCCCATCTGTCTTGTCAAGCAAGTCAAAGAACACATATGGATGTGATAGACACAGAAAACAAGCTCTATTCCAAACATCTAGCGCAGAAAAGCTCAGTGCAGCCATTGTTCTCAAAACACTGGGATGCATTCTGATTTCAACTGTGCTTCCCTGCTTCTGGATTAACACCAATCCTCCTCAATGAAATCGATGCAGCTGATCCAAATTTGAATGTTTGTACTGGTTATGAAAAATCTCATTTTTTACTGAATTTGCAATTAAGAGATTCATGGAGCAAATAAAACCTGTGTTTATCCTTTTAATTATAATGTCCACACTTACAAATACACTAAAGACAGTCAAAAGGAGATGCTCAATATCCTGAGTTCTTTGTAGAAGACTTTTCAAACCAATGAAATACTAAAAAAAGCATGTGTGTGAGCACATATACATATATGTGTGCCTGTATGTATTGAATATAACAAACAGCATCTTGTAAGATTTCTTTACTGTCATTTCTGTGTGTGGTTGGACAGATGGCAAGGATTCCTGTTTTGCTGAAGATAAGGTTTCAGTGGTCTAAGCTAGCTCTTGCTGGCTGTTAGCCATCTCCCTCTCTCCTACTCTCTCTTTCTTTCTCTGCTGATACTGCAGATATTTCCTTTGGTTTTTTGTGCTTATTTTTACTTAAGGAAGGTGTTTTACAGAACACTATTTGCATTCTTGAACAAGGTACTGGAAGTAAAGCAGGATGATAAAACTGAATCAGTGTAAGAGTCCAAACCGCTGAGAGTAGGTGAGCATCAAGTCATTGTACGTACCTCAGCAGCCTACGACATCTCCACATCAAGTTTCCTTTGCATGAACATTATTGTTTATATTTTTAATGCTCCCAATGCAGTTAAGTTCTCCATCACTTGAACTACTTTTTTTCTCCACGATGTACTCAGCCATTAGCATTTTCTCTTTTTTGTTACTATGATGTTATGCCACTGTTAGGCTCTATTGAACTGGCACAGGAGGCAGTGACTGGCAATTCAATGGAGAACAGCTGACATCTACAGTTAGAGCAAGAAATAGAGCAAGGGAACCTTGCAGCCCTGGCAGTACTGACTGCATCTGTGATGACTTGCAGTGCATTTTTAACTCTGGTCTCAAGCCACTCTATCACGTTCCCAGTCGCATGCTTGTTTCCTGTTGATATCCTAATTTTTTTGTAGGGAGTTGAGAGGGGCTGGAGTGAAGACAAGTTTTGCTTTGCCACTGGTTGATTCATCCTTTTAGAGTAACCTGACTGAATCCAAACTTTAAGAAAACAAAATCAAAACCTAAACCTGCCTCCACATCTCCCCACCCCATGGGAGTTCATTGTACAGCTTTGAGAAGGCCCTGAAAAGCCCACCAAAAGTCCATCATCTGTGGCCCACCAAAAGTCCACCTCCTTCACAGGCAAGCAAGATCTGGGACACTGGCCAAGTCCCAGTGTGGGAGGAACAGAGCCATCAATGCCCAACCATCAATGGCAGACCTTCCAAAGATCTTTTGGCTTAAACGTGAGCCCTAACCACTCATTACCACAAAGACTGGGAAAGAAATCCAAAATTTGTCTCAATATTTAATGGAAGACAATATGCTGTGATAAACTATGGTATTAAGGAATTATTCTTCTGTGCAAGCTTAAGACTTCCTGCCTTGACCTTAATATCTTCATTTATGGGCACTTATTTAGACAAATAAAGATAAATTATCTTACAGAGTGTGCTATTATTCTACTGACATTCTCCAAAGTATGACACAGAGAAATACAGTCTCTCTTTCTGATTGTGCAAGGTAATTCTGAAAATTGGATTTTTACTAACTAATTCAATCCACTGTCCTAATGTAGTTACAGATGTTATTCCTAATAATTTGTAATGCCTCATTTCTAGAGACGAGTGGCCTATAATAATGAGAAAGGAAGTTATTTTCCAAGAGGTGAAATATTATGATCCAAGTTGGAAATGGAAATATTTAGATCTTAAAATCTGCACAGGATTCTGTAAGAGTATCTATAATGGACACAGTCTGATGACATCGTACGAATGGAAAAATATTTTTTCTTTAAAATAATCTTTGTTATTTTAGTAAATAAAACCAAGATGATTAAAAGGCAATTAAAATTCATAGCATAAAATTTAACTCTGAGAGTGAGGAAAAAAGAAAAACTTGAGAGCAGGGATGTTTTGCTGAACTAAGCATCAACTTTTGACACAAAAAATTGATTCTTATTTAATGACTGAGACAATGCTACAGAATTAATTTGCTTGCTACTATATATATGACATACTAAAAATAGCATGTATTTTAAAATACTACTATATATTTGCTCAGGGAATAAAATCTGTTTTAATATCCGATTCTCATAAGCTGAGACTCAAATAGCACAGAATATGAAACCTCTTTCCATCTTGATGAATGACAAGCAATAGACACTAGCTGCAGTGTGAGAAAGTGCCTACTCATTGTGTACAGCCTCAGCAATGAATTAAGGGGTTTTAAAATGTTATAAACCTTAGAAAGGTTTTTGAAGATCACTATGGTCAGAAACTTCTAAAAATCTTAGTGCTGGAATAAAATTTTAATTTTTTTTTCCTTCCAAATCTATGAATAATTTGAGTACATGAGAACAGGAAGATCATACACTTTACCTTTGTCTTCTGTTCTTCTTTACCAGTCAAACCAAATTCTCATCACAAAGCCAAATAAGAGAGCCATTTTGCTCCACGTCTACTTCATACTCATCACTCCCATCATAACACAGGGCTAGATGTGATTATAAAATAATTTTCTGCAATGATTACTGATTTTGGTCAAAAGGTATGATTTTTCAGGCCTGATATTTCCAGGAAAACATTTTGAGTTTGAGAATTTTGCTTAGGAAATATCACTTTATAGCGTCACTTATGATGTAAGAGATGTAAGAAGACACAGACAAAACAAAGCATTCTCACCTGCTGCAATACAGTGGATAAAAACTGCAACTTTAAATGAAGATCAAAAGCCTTTTGATTTTCCTAGATAGTGGGAAAGCAGTTAAATAAAAAGGCAGAAAAGTGACGTTAACACCTACAGAGGTTAACATTTACATAGGTCAGACTTACAGAGAACTTCAGGATGAACAGCAAGAATAAAGAAACTAGAAAATCTAAAGTACCATAAAATTTAGATTTTACATTTATTGCTAAAATAAAGCAACACCTAATTTATTTTTGTTTGTGGCATTTAGAATAACAGATCTCATTAAGACATATCACAAATGACACATCATTTTTTTATAAAATGAAACAGATGGGAAATACCGATTTCCATCATCACAAAACATAGTGGCACTGGCAATACAAAAACACTTTTGCAGCAGTGTTAAGAAAAGCCAGCTACCTTCAGTTTTGGGGTCTGCATGATTGCAATTTCAACACTGTGCATGTTTCTAGTTCCAAAAGGGTGTGTACCTCTGTCCCGATCCGATGTCGGGGATCATTTAAATATCCCGATCCGATGTCGGGGAAGGTTTCGATGTGATCCCAAGGGCGAGATTAAGACACACACGAGGTCACATGCCGCACTGCCAGAACATCTTTTATTAGAAAAGAAGAGTAATAAAGAGGATAGCGATAGGACAGGATGGAACGAAAGACGGGAAATCAAGCAAGGAGTCGGGATAGGGGAGCAAGAATAGTCACCACCACGGGTCCAGCGGCGAGGCGACGGTGAGGGGTGGGTGAGGAGGTCTCAGTTCCTTGTTCCAGTGGTGATGCAGCATGGCGAGGTGCGGTGCGGTCAGGTGGTTGTCCTCTGTCTCTCTCCTGTCTCTCTGCCGCCAACAGCTAGCCCTCTTGCCCATGCTGGTCCTCCTTAAATACCCCTTCGAGGGCTGTAGTTTCCATAGCAATGGCACGTCTCTTCGTGCCCCCCAGCACGTGGGCAGGGACATGTCCGAGAAGAACCCCCCTGCGGGCAGGGCGCCTTCACAGAATGGGGTTCCCGGAACCCGGTGGTCTTGTGGCCATCCTTGCAAACAATCTTTGAGACAAGTTTATCACCCTGTGGCTCCAAGATATCTGGTGGTCCTGTGCAAACAATCTTTGAGACAAGTCCATAGTGCAGTTCCTCACATCACCCCGTGGCTCAAAGATACCTGGTGGTCTTGTGCAAACAATCTTTGAGACAAGTCCTTAGTGCAGTTCCTCACAACCTCCCTTCTGCCACAGTCAGATGCTCACATCGGAAACGCTGGGGCTGAGTTAAGGCATCTTGTGCCAAATCATTTCCTACTGTTTGCTGCTGATCTTCTCCAAAACGAACAAGTCAAACCCTTCATACTACCACTCTCCAGCATCAAGCAGTAGGCTTACCTTAATCCTCCTAATTCACTTAGGTCTATTTCAGCTAAACTGACTGCTTTTGCTTTGAAGTAACGACACCAGCACAGTTACCCTGTTGATTGACTGTGCTGTGACAGAAGTGTCACCCAGCTGACGAGCACTGTTTGCTTGAAACTCTTCCAGCTAGATCTGAAAGTGCTCATCTGTCACTGCCAAGGCTCTGGGTTGCTCACAAAAGAGGACAAGAAAATAGTAACTTTTTTTATTACAGTCTATTTTCCTCCCATTTTGTTCCAACAGCTTTACACTAATCTTCAGTGATTTTCTATAACTGGCTTTTACATTTTCTTCCTAAGTAAATAAAACCGGTGATCAGACAACTGAAGGAGATTCACATTAGACACAAGCTGGACAGAGCTGGCGCGGGCACGCACGCACATAAATATCAAATCTGAGACTATGAGAATCTTGTTTACGAAGGTGCTGCGTTCTCCATGTGAAGCCTGATGAAATCCCACCTATTCTGCACTTTTCCACGTAGATTCAACAGGGCTTTGATTCAGCTGCTTTAACACAGGCAGACAAGGCATAATTTGAAGGAACACAAGCATCACTGCCCACTTTTGACAACTTTTTAAAAATAAATGTTTATGGTCTCAAAGCAACTATTTTTCTTGAAACTGAAGACTCAGATTTTGATAAAATGAACTTAGAATCAACTTAATTTTCCATACTAAAGACCAATAAACAATAGTAAATACATGGGAGAAATCTCTCAAAGGGATTTTTGTCCAGCAAACTGCTTAATCTTCAGTTTAAAACTGAACATATAATTGACTGCTTTGTTGAATTGAGAACTTAAAACTTTAGATCCATTAGCCTAATGTGAAGATTTTGGTTTGGGAAGGTGCAACAGGGGCTTTTTCTTCTAAAGCCGTTGTTGCACCTTCCTGAACCAAAATAATTTTTCTCTGCTGTCCTTCAAAATCCTGTGCATAAGTTATCTGCAGTTCATAAACCTTAAAGATCACTTTTTATAATACTGCCCACACTCAGTTTTCAACCCTGGACTTTGGAAGACTGCCCAGATAATTAACAGCATAATAAAAGCCATTATCCACCAAAACACAAGAATTATTCTGAGCATCTTGCATACAAAAGTGTGAAACAATAGACACCCAAATATCTTCTGAGTTGTGTCATTTTATTATGCTCTTCAGTATTATTAGCATAGTAGTAGCAATGTAGTAAAGCTACTATACTTATGCTATTACATTTTCTTGCCTAAGTGAGCCATGAGGTTCTGGATCCTTTAGGAACTTTTACTCAGTCATTTCTAAAGTCTTCAGGCATATGAAGTTGGATGCCAGCTTCCTATTAACCCCTGCCCAGGCCAACACACCAACCAAAATACCCAGGAGTTCCTCATCAATGCTTTCAGTTCAAGGAGTTGCAAGATAATGGTCACAGAAACTACTACACCATCTTCTGTGAGGATGGCGGATGCACCAGCACAAATGATTAACAGAATCCCAGCCACCAGCAGACACAGGGTGTTGTAACATCACAGCCATCCCTACCATCATGCTTCAACAGGTCTGTGATACACAGGAAGGATTCACTGCCCTGTCACACCCAATGCCATTCCCCACCTCCATCAAGGCCATGAGCATATTTCTCTCCAGCCACCAAGTCCCATGAGCCCTTCCTCACCTGACCTCTCTCACTGAGCCCTGGCCACCCTCTCCATGGCCAGCCTCAGGCGCAGCCACCAGCATATACCACACCAGTGAGCTGGCTCTCTTCTGCTGCTGACACATGCACACACATCCAGAGCTACCGGCTATTCCTCTCACTAAGGAGAGGTAACAGGCAGACTTTCTAACAAGTGTCAACCTCATTATACCAGTAGTTGAGAAGTGCTAATTTACCTGGTGAAGAATGTAAGATGTACTCTCTCAGAACAAAGCATAATAGGGCCCTGGCACAAACACACATGATGATGCTCATAGTACCTACTTTCCCCAAAATAAAGCTTTATAAAACCAAAGATGAATAAAATGTTTCTAGAGAATGAAGGCATAAATATTTTATGGAAAGAATATTTATGCTGTTACTTATACTGTCAAGGAACTTGGAGGTTTCGCTTAGGGAACAGGATCTCACTGTGCTACTTAACAAACTTACTTAGAGGTTGTCATTCAGAAGAGAGCTATTCTGTGCCTAGTCGTGTAATAATGTCAGCAGAAAACAGCAGGATTTAAACAAAATTACTAAGCCTTGGTTCTAAGAGTCTCTGAGCAGAAGTAAATACATAAATATGTAAAGGGAGAGCGTCTAGAGGACGGGGCCAGACTCTGCTCGTTGGCACCCAACAATAGGATGAGAGGCAACGGGCATGAACTGCAGCATGGGAAGTTCTACCTGAACATAAGGAAGAACTTCCTTACTGTGAGGGTGACCAAACACTGGAACAGGTTGCCCAGAGAGGTTGTGGAATTGCCTTCCCTGGAGATATTAAAAAACTGTCTGGACAAAATCCTGGTTCATGTGCTCTAGGAGTCCCTACTTGAGCAGGGTGGTTGGACTAGATGACCTTCAGAGGTCTCTTCCAACCTCAACCATTCTGTGATTCTGTGATAAAGGGATTAAAAGAAATTCCTCCAGTGCACAGCACAGTTGCATCAAGCTAATGCAAAGAGGAAAGAAACTCCATTTACTACTAAAGTTTAACTCCCTTGCTCATTTGCATGTCAAGCAAGGAGGAGTACAAAGTAGAAGGAGACAAAAAGAGAAACCCAACTAAAGTTTTAACAACTATTTCAGTTTTTATGCTATGTGGGGAAAGTTACAAAAATGGCAGGGACCATTCTGTTTTTTAAACAGTATCTCTAGTTCCTGACAAAGTGGTCACAGCGTTAGACTGCATTCAAAACGCCATCTGCATTAGGCACTGCCTTCTAGAAGGTAATTCTGGGGTATATCATGACATACAGACCCAGCCAATTCATCTTCATGAAAGCATTAAAAGAGGAGAAAGGATAGAGGGCAGCAGAACTAAATACATCTCATTTATCTTGCTTGCCACTCTCAGGATCAGTGTCATTAAGACACTTCCAAGGGGATTTACATTTTGCTTTTTTCTTCAGGGATGTGGTTAGGGTTTTTAAGGGGGGTGAAGCAAAACCAAACAACAACAAACAAAAAAAGAAGAGCAAGGCAGAAAGAACTGTTCAAATCACTATGTTAGTACAAGATGCTTCACTAACACGACAGTTGCACAATGTGATTTTTGCTCTATTCACACCTGAAGTCTAGAGGGGCTGAAGGCTAACTCCAGCCTGAGCACAGAGGACTCCATGCCCCTTCACGGCACTACTGAGATGAGTAGGTTTCTCAGGGGTCTGCATACACCCAAAACACCATGACCTACTGCCATAGCTTAATAAGCACAAAATGTTATCAATAAAAACAAGTCTGCTGTAGGATTATGTTTGTTTTAGAGAGGTGTGAATCTCCACAAGACCATTTTAGGCAATCACAAACTTAGAAAGGTTGAAAATGATTGTGCTGAAGGTCTCAGCAAATTTAAGTCTAAGGCAAAAATTTAACATATTAATTAATACACTCCTAAATCCTCAAGTATCCCATGTGAACTAAATAATTAACTCAAAGATCAGCGTTTTCAAACCTGTATCTTAAAGGCAGACATACAACTCAAGAGCTTAGCTTGAGGTGAGAACTGAGAACGTGTAAACACCCAACTTCAGCAAACTGCACCACTCAGGATGTACCAATTCTTGCCATTGTTACAGATCTTAATACACTAAATAATCCTTTTTAAAGCATCAGCTCAACATGTGGTTATAAGAGATTCCCAGCTTCCGTTAAAAACAGAAGTCTAGATTTTCAAAGGTGCAGACAGGTGAGAGTCACATTTTCATGAGCACCAGGTACTTCATTTCCAGTGATTCAATAAACAATACTTATTTTTTGAAATCTGATTCTACAGTCAGATGTACTGTAACTAGAAATTCCCTGTGATTTCAGGTTGCTAATGTGTTCCAGAAAAAGCTTGAGAATAGAAGATTAAAGGTGAAAAAAGACAAGAAGCATGGCTAAAATATAAGCAAGATGGCTAAAATACAGTATTTAATTTGTGTTCAGGAGCTCAAAGCAGATTGTAGGCATTTGAGCTCTCATTTTAATGGCCCAGAATTAGTGCTTCTGTTTACCTAATTTGAAACTTGATGCTCTGGCTGAGAATGTTAAATGCCAGTCTGAAAGATCTGTAATTCCCTACATATGTATGCTCTAAAAATCAGGCTTCCTAAAGAGGGAGTGTATTGGGACATCTGTTTTTTAAGGCACCTAAAATTACTGGTTCCCTGAAAATACATTTTCTATGCTTGTCTCCATTGAGACATGCCATCTACTCATCTTAAATTTATTGCTTGTTTTACGAGTTTAGCTAGGTCTTCATGTTTTAGGTTACCATGGCCACAACCAGTATTATACACTGTCATCTTCAGTATTTCATTGTAAGATGTTGGTCAGCCACCTTTCCAAAGAGAAGGCACGCATCAGAAGATTTTAAATCACCTTTAAGGACAACTGTCAAGAATAAGAATGAAAGCAGCCTGCTTGTTTCTCTACAGCTGAAGCAAGTTCTGCTATCAATTCCACTGAAGTCATGACCATGAATAGTACTGGGATATTTTGGTTTCTTTATTATAGACAGAAAGAATATATACTGCGACCATGAATGACTAAGACTTTTTTTTCATCCAAAATGAATAAAGAATTAGGAACTCCAAGCATTCCCTTTTTGCTGAACATGGTATGTCTCTTACATTTTTAAACTTCAGGAAATTTTACTGAGGGGAAAAAAATACTCATCTTTGCATAATTTTAAATAACTTACATACAAATGTTAAAGAAATAATAAAATTAGAGGAGGAAAAACCAACTGATATGACTTTGTAGATGCATCCAGATGAATAAGTATACCACAAAACATACATCTGCCATTTTCGGTGCTCAGTTCACCATACAGGAGCATTTCATAAAGTTCTATTCACAGGCTTTAATTCTGGACTTTTAATTGCATCATGGGAAGGTGGAAGGTGTCCCTGCTGATGGCAGCGGGGGTGGAACTAGATGATCATTAAGGTCCCTTCCAACCCAAACCATTCTGTGATTCTATGTTATGTGAGATAGTGTTGAAAGCCTTGTTAAAATAAAAATAACGATGCTGTGTAACTTAGCCTTTTCCATGTCCTTTATCACCACGTCACTGCAGCAGTGAGCCCCACTTTCCCTCATCTGTCTTTTGCTGCTGATATATCTGTAGAAGTCTTTCTTATTTCCCTTCATGTCCCTCACTAGATTCAACTCCAGGGGGGCATTGGCTTTCCTGACAACATTCCTGCACACTTGGACAGCATCCTATCACCCACCTGGGTCACTTGATCCTTCTTCCACCTCCTGGTGTGTTAGCTCTTTATAGCATTTGAACAAAACACCTTTCAAATAAGGAAGAATAGGTTTCCTTTAGAGAGCTGTACACAATCCCTGTCAAAGCTGAGCTGCTGCGCAGACAACACCCCAAGAGGTGAGTCAAGACACACAGCAGACAAGAATGAGCCTAAGTGGATCTAAGGATAAGAGTGCTTGACTGGCAAGGGGCAGTGCTGGGCTTCTACAGCACCATAATTCAAGCACAACACATGATCTGAAGAGAGATTCAGAGGTAGAAAGGGAAGAGGGCAGGTGGTAAGTCCTGTGGAGTGACACTGAAATCAGACATCTCATTGTAAGGGTGAAATGGCATAAATGGAAGATCTCCTACATTATCAGAAATGACACTGGATTTCAGTTTCACTAGAATATGTTACTACTCACAGAGGTCTATTAGCTGACAGAATAACAGGGTTGGAAAGCTTTAAAGAAGAACAAAAAATTCCAACAGAGAGGCAAAAGAAGACTCTGTGACATCAGAATGAACTACATGATACTAAAAACAGGGGAGCAAATAAAAGGATTGAAAAAAACCCCACTTAAACTAAACTGTTAGCAACAAAGAACAATGGAGAACTGGATATGCTTTTAAATGAAAACATATGAGCTAATTCTCAGTCAATATAAACTGACACAATTCCATTAATATCAGTCAAAGGTTTATTACACAAGCTAAGCTCTCGGCTTTGAATTGATGCTGTAGGCTCACAGGAAGGAACACAAACCTTAATTGAAGTTTTACCTGCGCAAGGGTTGCAGGCTCAGACCCAGCGTAAAGGACCTCAGGTTTTTTTAATTTTCTAACCAAAAGTTTCTCTTTCTAGATTCTAACTTTTACAATATCAGTCCCACTGCTCTACAATGACTGCTTACCTTCTTTAACTCTTCCTGAATACTTCTGCCACTTTCCTCTGAGGACAAACTCTCCTTTTGGTTTTCAGGGTCTGTTCTAGGTTCTGACTCTTGTTCTTCACCAGAAGATGTTTCCTTGTCATTCATTTCAGCAGCAAGCTGAAATAACCTGGACTTAAGCTCCTCTTCCAAAAAGCCAGGCTTGATGTTACGATGTGGATCCTCACTGCTTATATCTGTTTCTGATAAATCATCAAAATCCTACAAAGAAATTAGAAGAGCAGTATAATTACTGTATAGGTACAGAAAGGAAAACAAATAGCTTCCTAGAAAGGTATTGGTATGATCACTCTGCAGCGAAGCTAGAAAGAAAGCACACCAAGTGTGCTGATAAAAAAATACCGTGTCTTTACAGAGGAATGCCAGT